CTATTCTTTTTCTGCAAATGTCACAAGGTTTAGTGAGTTACATTCAAAATTTGATTATAATACTTTCTTTTCATGGTATACCAATAAATATAGCATAAAAACATAGCTAGTAATCCATATTGTAATAGTATATAAGTTTTAAGTTTTTACTTTTATAAGGCAGTATTAAAAAATTACCTAAAATCTCCCATAGTGTGAGAATTGTGACATTTACTCTATAGGCATCTCCTCTTCTCTAATTTTTTACTATCCCTCCAAGAAGTATGAAATTTAATGTAAATTACTTATTATAATATATTTCAATCGTATTTGGTTACATAGCCATGAAATAGACAACTAGACCCCTCTTGCCATGCCCACCTGTCACATTCTCTTTTTCAGAAATTGCCAGTAGTTCTTTCTGTTGTTAAATACTATATTATTTATAACTAATACAAAGCTAATGTTTTCATCTATCAATTGACATACATAAAGTAGGCTTCATATAGTGGACTAAATGGTTAATTATCTATTTATTACTTCTTTTCCTCACCAAAACACCATCTGGTACACCACTAATAACCTAAAATATCTTAGGTCTTTAGATAACGTGACATACTCTCACAATTAGTTATCCATTATTATTCAGTGGAATACTTTTTCTGTAAAGAGAATTGACAATTTTGCTTTCAGTTTAATGTTTTCAATGAATGTTTAATGGCTGTTTTCACACAGCTAGATACCCAGAAAAATTGTGGTAGTTATGGGACATAGTCAGCTGTTTGCACATTATTATTCTGTGTTCTTTGGTGCATTACTTAATTAAATAACAAATTATTTAGTGCAATACTACCATTAGTGTAAAAAAAAAGAAAAAAGATCCAGGTGGTAAGTACTTATTATCTTGTTTTTCCTGTGTATTCTTTATTTATTATTATAAAACTAACTAAAATGTAAGAATAGGAAACTTTTTATGTTAGTTAAGGTTAGATTAGGTGAAATAAAGAATAATAAAAATAAAAATTTTCATTGGGTGTGTTTACCAAGTGAGTTACAACTTATAATGGCATGAATAGGAATTAGTCAGGGTTCAAAGGGCAATAGAATAATAAAATTTAAGTACAGATAGATGTATACTGTTACGAGTGTAAAGCTATTTAGGATAAAGATGTGTAGTTACAATTTGAAGTCATTCTAGAAAATAAAAAAGGAGAAATTAGATTTATTTCAATTTTCTTTTGGTGGTTATGAGGTCAGTCAAATTGTGATCACCCTTGTATAAAATTATGGTAGAGAAAAAATAACAGATAAAATATAAAGTTTTGCTGAAAACAAACATTCGAAATGAATTAAGGTTTTTTTAGAGATTATGCTAATAAAATTTGATATTTTTGAGATAAAGAAAAGTATTTTTAATTTTAACGTGGAAATCACTTAGCACTCAGACTAGTATACAGAAATACCATGTATATATATATGGACAAATCTTTAGTAAAAATACTTCATTAAACATCTGATTTTTTGTGTACAAAAGACTTGTCAAAAGTTTGCCAAATTTTTTAAGATACATTTACTGTAATAAAAGTTATAGTATGAAAACTATAACAAACACAAAATGGTTACCTGTCAGTTCCTGAGTCTGAACCCGTAGCTAGAGAGTTAAAAAAACTTGCAGCTGACTTAAGCAAAACAAATCTTTATTTAACAGTCAACTTTCCAAGCACATTAACAGTCATAATCTTTAATGTAAAATGGTTGATTAACCCTATGAGCACAGGTTGGGGTCAAAATGTGCATGTCATGTCTTTACAGAATTAAGTTCCAAATTTAATTAAACTGCTTTATTATCAATGTATATCAGTAAAATTGGCATCAAAATGTAGTTAGTAAAGCACATTTTAATATTATATAATTTTAATTTCTTGTCTAAAACAATTTCAATTTGAGGGTAGGCTGGTAAAGATCCTGATGAGTAATAAAATTGAATCAGGTATACGTATGCCCCATGCTTGATATTGCTGGCACACAAAATATAGCTAATAAAAAGAGGGAATCCTCAATAGTCCATGGCACTTGAAATTCTTTTAGGCAGGATTACAGTAATTTATCTGTGAGACCTTTTTGGGGCACGCACATATCCAATTTGATTTTATTATTCATCAGGATCTCTACCAGCCTACTCTCAAATTGAAATTCTTTTAGGCAGGGTTAGAGTAAATTAATCTGTGAGACTTTGGGCATGGTCAAATACATCTGTTGAAAGGTTTGACCTCCTGAGTCCAAAACTGTAATTAGATTTCAAATCGGTCAAGAGATAACTGAGCTATGGGCTAAAGGTTTGTACTTTTAAAAAACTCGGAGCCATTCTGTGAGTCGCTATTGTGCAGCTAAAAAGGCCTTGAAGGTTAATTTATTCTAATCCTGCCTAAAAGAATTTCAAGTGCTACATCTATTAAGGATTACCTCTTGTTAATGTGCAAATTGAAGCATGATGTTGCTTAATGTAAGTGTTACACAGGTTAGTGTTTATACAAGTATGACCTTGATGCTAAACTAAGGAAATGTACATTTTACTTGCTATAGTTTTGAATTTAACTTTTAAGATAAAGATATTATAACTTCTTAAATTTAAGTTACAATAAAAAATTGAGAATGAACCTGCCATGCTTTTATCATATACTTCTATAGCAATGTTGAAATTTGATATAACAGGCAACTATTTTTTACAATCCTGTAATTTAAATTTAATAAAGGGTATGTGTTAGTTTTAAGCTTTGTGTGTGGTTTGTAAAGATCCAGTGATGTGCATAAAACTTTTGTTTCATAATGAGTGGTTTTCCAATTAGAGTATAAGGTAAATAACTTAATTTTTAACCTGTTCTTATTTTTGAGAAGAATGTATAACTTTTAGTAGAGTTTATTTTCAAGGTCTGGGATAAATTCTATGCATAACTGATTTTTGCATTATGATATATTTGATATATATTTGCTTGAGTATATTATTTTCATGGGCACTTATAAATATTTCAGGTATGTTAACCATTTTGATGTATTTGTAGGTGTGAGTATAATATGTAGTTTAACTATATAAAAAGAGAAAAACAATCCAAGATCAAAATGTATATGATTTAAATTAATATTATGGGCACTGAAAAATAGTGTTTACATAATTAGATTACTAAAGGTCAAGGAAAATCATAAAAACAAAAAATACTTTTAATGATTAGGATAAATTATCTTTGTTTTATTATAGAAATTCATTCTATGTAAAATTTGATCATTATTTTAAAACTATTTTGCTGGCTAATTATGGTTTGGAAACACTGAGCTGGTCAATGAGAAATATTTTGAAGAAAAGCAAAACAAAAAAAGTTATAAACCCTTGGATAAATATTGCAGTAACGTTTCTCTTAGTTCATTAGATTGTCTAATAGATGAATGGGCCATAAAAATGTTAAATTAATCTATAACTAAAATTCTATTCTGTTTTTCAGGTTTATGTAGACACAGTAGGACCATCAGATAAATATCAGGCTAAACTTTCTGAGATTTTTCCTGATATTAAAGTAACAGTGGCGAAAAAGGCTGATGCTACCTATCCCATTGTAGGAGCAGCCAGTATTTGTGCAAAGGTGAATTTGTAGTGTTATCATTCCATAGGAAATAGTCAGCTTATTTTCATTCATTTTTTATGCAGACAAATCTATACCAGAATAAAAACAGCTTTTTACTTTACATTTTATTTTATATATTATAACAGTATTTTAATGGTTGGTTTACCTCATCAGTTAAAGCTCACTAAGTAGATAACCTTTGTTTGGTGAAGATAGCCAGTTTGGTGGTTTTGTGCCATTAAACTTCAACGAACCAACTAACTTTTAGCAAACTCTCTGTGGATACACTGTATGTATAGTTCATAGAAAGTTATTTATTAAAGTTGAGTGTCATCTCAGTTGGTATACTAATAATGTATGTATATACTATTGTATTCTGTGGATGAACTGCTATAATATTTGATTAATCAGTTTTATTGTTTCATAGTAGTTAGTTTATTTTACTTAGTATAAGAAATTAGACTAAAAAGGACTCTTATCTCATCTCCCAGTGATTTTCACTGTAGTAATTATATTTATAATTCACTTCTAATATTTCGCACTATCCTGTAGGGATTTAATTATCTTTTGTTTAGTGTTTTAGCCAAATGCATAAATAAAGGTTCACTTAAAAAATCTTTGAATATTAAAACACAACTTTTCTTATCCAGTAATAAAGTGAGTTGTTTATGATTTTATGTTTATTGCAGTTTTTGTTACATAGAAAGTTTATCAAAGCAGTTAACCTATATAAAACAACTGTAGGTAAGAGGAACATTTTGAATAGCTTATTTCACTTTTGGGCTCAGTAGTTACTGGACAAGTTAATATGATATTTTCATTTATTATCTTACAGTTTTGTTCAACTGTAAAGTGTTCTCATTTTTAATCATAAAAGTTAAAATGTTGTTTTGAAATTGTTTTGTTAGGTGGTGAGAGACCATGCTTTACAGTCATGGAAGTTTCGTGAGGGTGATAATTTTCAGTCTTTGGAATATGGGTCAGGTTATCCTAATGGTAAGTTTACAAGATAACTGTGATTTTACATGCTATTTCTAAATACAAACTTTTTCTAATGAACTTTTATGTAATTGAAAAAAAAATTGCATGATATAAAAGATGTATTGAATATGTCTTCACCCAGTCTAATAATTTGATACAAGTTCAAAGGAAGGGGTAGCCATTCTGAACATTCAAGGATACTTATGTCCATAATTTTGAAGACTGTGTTCTGTGTGTGTTTCAGTTACTTCTATGAACTTCTTAGTCTCTATTCAATAAAAATATTCTGTTCTTTGTTTAGACCAGTCACTACTAAGAGTTAATTGAACCTAGTATAGATTGATACGTAACCACTATGCAGATGTTTAAATTAGACTGATGTATTTTTTTGAAATCCATAAGGGTAATGAAAAAATGTAAGGTATTTGAAATAATTATAGAAATAGTGAATAAAGTGGGTATAAAATGTAAAGATTATGGGATTGCTCCTCCTCTATAAAAATTAGTTACACCAGAGTACAGTCACATGCTTATAGTTTATACAGTGTGATAGGCTTATCCAAACAATTGAAAAGTGCCACACTAGCATGATGATTAGGAAAAGTATAGGCAGGCATATTATTCCCAGCAGTAGTGTGGTAAATGCACTCGTGGTTCCCAGGGCAGAAATAACACTAATTTTGAACTACTGACTGGCTACTTAGGTGTTTAATAAATGTACATTTTCTGGTTTTATTACATTCTGTTATTTTAGTCCTTATAACTACATAACTGTATTCTTTGATGTTGTATAAGGAGATCTAGGGGAAAGACCCAGATTCTCCCCATCCTTTTTTCCAGAAATAATATCTGTACTCTTTAATGCTGTAAAAGCATGTTCAGGAGGAGGGTTTAGGATTCCCCTACCCATTGTTTTCTTTTAAATTAATAACTGTATTCTTTAAATGTTGTTTTAGCAGGCATGGGTCTAGGGGGTTTGAATCCATCCTCACCCATTTTTCTAGAAATTAATAACAGTTATTTAATGTTGTATAAGAAAGTGCAGATCTAGGAGTGATTATTGTTTAGGTTCTGTGAGCTTGTACAGAAACCGAGAAATTCAAATGGCAAACAAACAACTTTGCTGATTGTGAGGAGTAACATATAGGGCAATTAGAACTAGAACTGAGTGATTTGATTATTCCTTATTATTTATCTATTTAGTCTTTTTCTTTTATATATGGTTTTAGCCAAGTGCATAAATGAAGTTTTAATTGAAAAATTGTTGAATAGTAAAATACAACTTCTCTTATCCATTAATAGAAAATAGTGAGCTCCATTTTTTATTTTTTTCCAGAAATTAATAAAAACAGTCAGACCTTCTTACACTACACTATAGTATCAAAAAAGAAACATTAGATATTAATGTTTTTATTTGATTGGGATATTAATTACCACAAAAGCCTTTTTTAGGTTTTCTAAAATCTGGGGTCTATAGTGATTCAGTTAAAACTTCAACCAATAAATTATTATTTGTAAGCTAATATAACAATAAGAAAGTCAGTTAAATGCTGCTGTGGCATTATTTGTGCCTTGCTTTTTTCAAGACACTAATAATGTGTCTAGGCTTTAGAGATTTGTTTTAATCAAAGTTAGTATCATTTAGGACAACTACAGCTCTTGTAACATAGGCTTGTTACAAAATCAACTTTTCATTTTTTTAAAAATGTTTGGAAAGAGGCATACAATTTTCCAATGTTATAATTTTCTTTCTAAATATGATTATAAATAATTGTAATTATTTTATTTGATAAAAAAACTTGAAATGTTTGTTGTTAATTGTTTTTATTTTAATATAAGGTTTTTTAAGTTTTGAAATTGTTGGGTTATAATTGGAGCTAATTCTTTACAGAATGTATTAGCATTATGTTAATTAGGTTATGTTACAACTGTATGGTCAAACTGAGTAATCAAAAATATTATATTATTATAGTGGAAGTATTTTTTTTTCATGCAAAAACTTCTGAAAATTACATAGCTTAATTACTGCAGCTAGTAGAAAGTTAAACATTGTTGTTAGTTGTTAACACAATAGAATGTTATCTGAATACAATTTATAGTTTTCTTCTTATTCATTCCATAATAGTTTTCAAACTTTGTAAGATTGAGTTATAACTGTAAAAAGTTTTTTTTACAAAATAAATTGATGCTTTTCTAATTTCTATATTCCTTGATTTTAAATTTAAGTTACTTGAAGAATATCAAAAATACTAGGTTTTTACTTTGGCTAAGTACTCATTTGCCTAATAAATAAAATGGGTTATGATTAATCATTTTCTTTGATTTATTACAAAGTGTTTGAGCAACTGTGTAATTAAGATATAACACTTGAGGCCTTAATGTTGTAAACTAAGGGTACTAGATCCTGTTTATTAAACATTGAGAAAGTACTATTACTTTCTTGAAGAAATATCTTTATACATAATACTGCATATCTTACTATAATGGATATAGCATGTATATATGTATCTATCTATGTATGCGGTTGAAATAATAAATAAAATTTAATGCCAAATATTGAATGGCATCACAAACAAAAATCTATAAAACAAATTTTCACACTTTTGGTATTCAAGGTTCAGACAATTGGGAAAATAACTATGGTATGTGCAACAACCATTTCTTTATGACAGAATACAATTAAATAAAAGTACTCTCCTCGTGACAAGAACACTACTTTCACTAGAAGTGTGCATGAGGGTTTGATTATATCTTTAGTACTTAAGAATGGAGTTCTTAAGAAAAACAATTTTTTCAATAAAGGGAACAACTTTTAATATATGTATAAAAATATTACAGTTTGTATCAGCACAATCTGACTGCTTTTCCCATATAGTACTTTACAGAAAAAAATCATTTTTTTAGAAAATTTTCACTTTTTCTAAATGTTTTTCAATGAGGTGTGAACACCATGATTAGTAATTACTAGCACAAGTAGCTGCCCGTAAAGCAGCATTTCTGCTAGTTTCTGTAAACTACAAATATAAAAAGATAGTGAAATAACACAAATACTAATTGCATCTAAATATAATAACGGCCTGTTTTGATAAGACAGTGAGCATTGATCACATTATTACAGAAATGGTATGCTAGCATCTCTAGTGTAGACGTTTTGAGTCTTGAAGCTGTTTACAACCATTGGGGCACTTTAAATGCCGATGAATCATTGTTGATTCTCAGTCAGATTTATCTGGTGGCACCCATCTGCTATACAGGTAACCATCCCTAATTTGGCAGTAAAAGACGAAAGGGAAGATAGCTAGTCAACACCACCCATCGCCAACTCATGGGCTACTTTTCTACCATTGAATAGTGGGACTGATTGTCATAACATAATGCTCCCATGGCTGAAAGGGTGAGCATGTTCAGTGATAGAAATTTGAACTCGCAACCTGCAGATTGTGAATCAAGTGCCCTATCCACTGGCAAATTCGAGTTTATTACTCTAGTATCCATTTGCACAATTGTTTATCAGCTCCCCCCCTAGGAACAGGTCTGGAAAAAGAATGATTTTACAGATTTATTTTTTTCACCAAAGGTAAAATTGAAAATATAATCTGCAGTGTAGAGGCATTATTATTATAATACTTACTGTACCTTTTGCTGTAATCAGTGTTAATTTAATTGCGATTACTTATTATTTGTAACTTCTGCATGTGTGTTACCTGTGCATTTTCATAGTTATTTCTGATACTGTGTCTTACTTTCTATTTGTTTTAAAACATGCCTGTGATGTAAATTTTTAGGTAGTCTTTAAGTAGCATTACCATTTCATATATAGTTTAAATGATTTTTTCCCCAGAAATGTCTGTAAATGTATGTGTAAACATTTTAGATTTAGTCTCTGAGAAATTGAATAATCATATTGCTATTTACTCTACACATAGCTATTGTGATTCTCCTTTAATTTTTAAAAATTTAGAATTAAGTAACTCCAGGTGTTTGATAAATTAATCTAAATTAAGACTATTATTTCAGACCCTGTTACCAAAAGGTTCTTGTCAGAGAATATTGAACCAGTGTTTGGATTTCCTAGCCTTGTTCGCTTCAGTTGGTCAACTGCAGAAAAAATACTGGAAGAAAAAGCTGTTTCTGTTATATGGTAAGTTTGAATTTTAGTATTATAATCACAAAATGTAATAACTCTATCAGTGTAATTAGCAGTGTGGTTCAGTCTTACCTGTGGAGGATGGATACATTGGAGGGCTACAATTTACTAAGTTTATGTGCTTTTGTTTTGAAATAAGATTAATAAAATGGTAAATATGCTGATTTAAATTCACAAACTGATATAAGAAAGCATTTATAGTTTTTTTTTTATTATTATTATTTTTTTTTTAATACAAAAAGTTTGTGGTCAGATGAGAGCTGCAAAGATTTAATAATGGGTGTATTGGTGGATTATAATCAAGCATGGGACTGGATATGATTTGCTAAAAGGTTGTAGTGAATTTCTGTGGAATTTTAGTTATATAAAAATGATTTTCAGAAATCCTTTTAAGTACTTAATTATTAACAGAAAGGATAATAAAAGTCATAGCTAATAGATTTTTTCTGTGGTCCCTCTAAATGCTTAGTATTGTCATTATATGTTTTTTTATAACTAGGGATGAAGATGAAGAAGATACAACAATAACCAAAACTCCTTCTGTTCTGCAGTTTTTTAGGAAGCCAGATAAAAGTGATGAAAAAAAACAAACAAAGTCTCATCGTTTTTTCAGTGAGAGATCTTTAAAACAAGTGATGACTTTTTAATAAGTTTGTGTAATACATATATATTGTAAAAAATAAAGTATGTAACTTTCATTTGAGCAATGGGTGTTTACACATTGAAGCCTTGTAATTAATGAAAGAGCTGTTAAGGTAAATAGTACAGTATAAAGATGAATAGCAGAAACATGCTGTCAACATAAATAATGAAAACTTTTTTTTTTTTTTTATTAGAATAACAACATCAGTTTGAAACACTTACTATTTCTTTGATATAAATGTCTGTATGTAGACTTTTTACTTTTGACAGTTTTTTTAAATTGAATTAGAATTCGGCAAGAGTTTAAATAAAATGTAATATGCCCAAGTGTTCCATTGATATATGTAGCTGATCAAGCAGTGTAGAAAATTGTTTTGCATGTTGGTAATGTGTATACAACCCATGCAATCCAGTGTTTTCAGAGTAGGTTTTGGCTGGCCTACTGTTATACTTTGGGGCTTTATTATGTTGGAAGAAAACTAGGACCTAAGGCAAAGTACTCTTAGCAGATTTCTGTGCATTAGAATCTGTATTTGGCAGCATATAGTGTTCTTATTGTTTTGACTAAGTTCTTAGGTTTTGAAATCCACTTCCAAACCTGTAATGCATCAAAGCCATTCACTAATGTTATATTGAATTTTACTTCTGCTTCTGCCCTTCTGAACTAAGATTGCTTTGCACACAAAAATTTAGATTTTCAAATATCTGGAAAGGTATACCATTTTTAATTCTTCAACATTTAACATTTTTTTGTTTTCTTTCTATTGCAACTTTTTTTTTCTGTTAGAGTATTTTAGTCTAACCATAAAGTAATATTGTTGGAACTATTATTTGAAGGCAATGTGCCTCTAGGCACATTGACTTCAAATGTATGAAACGTTTTCATGATTTGTAAACTGCTATTCCTTCCAACAGCTTTTCTTGATAACTAAAATTTCTCCTCTATATTTTCATATTAGCTGTAAGATGTCATCTGTAAAAACTCAACCCTCTTTATTATATGAAATTTAAATTAGTAGAAATGGCTATTTCCACTATCTGTAGGGAGTTATTTTGATATTGAAAACTATTTTATAATCTAGATTAAATAAAACAATGAATGGGCAAGACAGAATCAAGTTGCCGTAGGTAAATTTTTAGGTATACAGATTTGATTGGATGTATTTGTAAATGAAATGAAGGAGAATTTGTATTTCAGAAGTCTTCATTAAAGGTTGTATGTAGCTTTAGAAAGTTGCTTACAAATATTGTATGTTACTCATTGATGCCTGTATTGGATCTATCAGTTTCACTTGAGTATATTTAATATTAACAGGGTCAAGTATTGTATTTGGCTTTTATGTCCATAGTACATGTTGGTACTGGCAATTGTTTTTGTGTGGATAGATAATTTTTTTCCTCACCTCTGAAATTATGATAACCTTAAAATGTAGTAAGTGTTAACTTCAAGATTGTTTCTTACAATTTTTTGAAGTACTTTTATTCCTTTGATATTATATTTTTTTAAATACAAGAACATTATTTGAGTTGGGATTCCAAGTTTTAACTTCTTTTTAAATATAATTCTAGGTTAAAGGGAAAAATAATATTTTTATGATAATAGTTTAAATTATTTTACTGTTCAGTAGCATTTATTTTCTTTAAACTTCTCATTTTCTCTATCATTATACTTGCATGAGCACCCACAAAAATATTTTCAAGGGGGCAAAACATGTATATAGAGGATAAGCTTTTACAATGTAAGTCAAGAAATTAAAAGAATATGTATTATGTGTGCTTAAATGCAAACACAAATTCACAGTTTTAATAAAAATTATTGAAAATGTTTAGTTTAACGAAGATGTTAAGTTTACATCATAATATGTGCAATTTTTTGTGAGATGTAAGTGGTGAAAGTGCCCCCCTCTTGCTCCTTCCTATGGGCACCCATGTATAGTTGTTAGGATTTTATACAATATAGTTAGTAATGTTATTCTGCTATTTATTTCTAAAAGTTTCACTTTAATTTTGAACTTATTTCTTTTCAAAAATTAATAAAAATTCAGTTTTGTTACATTATATTCACAGCTTCATGTTTTCACAACAGTTACAGTTCAAAGTTTGCTTTTCTTAAAATGGAAGGTATCTTTAGGCAAATTTAGATAAAATGCATATACTTTGTTTAAAATAGGATTTTTATATGTTTAGGTTCACAAGTTGTAGTAATAGCAATTTACTAGTTTCTTCTAATATTTTATTCTTTTTTAAGTGAGTTAGTGTTAAGATTACAGACTTACAATGATAAAACCCGGGGTTTGATTCCTCATGGTAGAGGGAGCACAAATAGCCCATTGTGTAGCTTTGCTCTAAAAACAAGCCACCACTACCTTTTTTAATTGTTTTCCTTTAGGGTTTCTATTATCCAATATTCTTGTTATTTTTATGTGCATGTACATAGAAATGTTTATATCCTGAAACATTGAACTTATTTGATTTGCAAATTATTCTACTTCCTGTTCCCTTACACACTTGGATTCTACATTCGTGCTAAATAATACTAGCCATCGTTAATTTTGTAAGCAGTCTCTTGTTGATTAATAATAACAGTAGTAAAGTTGTTAATTTTCTTAATTTTCACATGGTTAAAAAAGAACATCTAACGTATTGTTACGACAGCGGAAGTCACGCTACGCTGGAAGTATGCGCGCTGGAGTTTCTAGAAGGATCATGACTGTTCCTGGCAACTCT